GTACCGGGAACCGAACTCACGACCTTGCGCTTGCCAGGCAGGCGCTTTTGCCGCTGAGCTAAATCCCCAGCCCCGCCTTTTTAATTTTTATTTTTAAAATTTTGATAGTCTTGCTAAGTTGCCCAGACTGGACTCAGTCTTATAATCCTCCTGCCTCAGCTTCCCAGAATACTGGGATTGTAGGCACAGGCCACCATCCCTAGCAATTTCTGTTGTAAACCATTCATTTTATATTAGTTTGTCAAGGTAGCCTAATATAGAAAAGTAATGCAGATTTTGGTTGTAGAAAACATGGAATACTGCTATAACAAATACCTAAAACTGGAAATAGCTAGTCTCTTGGAATGATAAAAGGCCACAGTACTCAGCCACACCAAGGGATCTTTGAAAAGTTTTGCGTCTGACTCTTTAAACAGTCAGCTTTCCTGTTTAGGCTTATTATGTGGTTGTTGCCTTCCTTTTGTGAGCTGTAGTGTCAGTAACAATTTGCTTTTGGGCCAGGGATGTAGCTCAGCAGTACAGCGCGTGAGTGGCCAAGTGCAAGACCCTGGGTTCGATTCCCAGTACAAAAAAAAAAAAACCAATTTACTTTTCAGAACTCTCGTCTACTCTTTTGCTTGGCTTCATTCATGGAGCTCTACTGGGTCTCCTGTTTAGTCTCTGCAAATGACCCTCTGTCCCTAATGCTGTTACGTGGGAAGTTCAGAAACCCTTGCCCTGTGTTCACTGCCAGGCAGGAGTTTGGCCCGGCTGTTGCCTCAGGTGTGGAGTCAGCATGCAGCTGATGCTCAGCCCCTGCTGCTATCCCACATGTGGAAAGATGCCCACACCGCCATCAGAGTGGATTAGGTCAGTGATTGTTATGCGTGTGGGTTTTCTGGAAGCTGCTCCCTGGCTGGCTTCTGCTACTGCTGCTGTTGCAGTCAGTTAGACAGCCACTGTCCTGGCTGCCTGGCTTCCCAGCTGGCAGTGCAGGAATTGGGGGAAGGTCGCCATCATTGCTATCAGTTTGGGCTGAGGAAAGATGCTGGATTTCCTGAGTTCTATAATTATCCCCTGAATTATTTCCAGAGTTGTAAGTATTGTAGTTGGAGGGGAGGAGCAGGAAAAGTTTAGTCCGTGCCACCTTGTGCCCAAACTGAAAGAATACCAGATACTTTTCTGTTGCTTTCTAATATGGTTTTAACCCTGTCTAGGTTATCTTTTGTTGTTGTTGAGGCAAAATACCCAATGCTCAAAATTAAGGAAGGAAAGATTTATTTAGCTTACAGTTTGTGGAGGTTTTAGTCTATATTTGGCTGGCTCCGAGACAGAGTGGCACATGGCAGAGGGTAAATGTTTATGGTGGGGAAAGACAGCAAAGCAACAAGAGCAAAAGTGGGGAGCAACAAGCCTCTTTTCCTCCCTTATATTGTAAGCAGGCTATGCCCCACCCAGAGGGTGTGTAGCATTCATACAGTCTCTATGCCCTCCTCTTGCACAGGCTCAGGATGAATACGAAGTAAGGACCCTGGCCCCTGTTCAGTCACACAGTTAACCTTTTAAACTTTTCACATTGACTCAATGAACAACATCCTAGAGCAGAAAGGGCATGTCTCTTTTACCCCAGGATGTAGAACTGCTGAGTTATTTAAACTTTTAGACTCCTCTGGTTGACACAATGTATCAACAATAACATTCTACCCCTGGTCCACTTGGCAAGCAGATATTTTTTTTAAACCAGTTTTTAGATATAAAGACCGTATTTTTACCATTTTACAACTTGAAGATTATAAACAGGTTTAACAACACTTAAGAAACCGGTATGAAGTCTATCAACATTATATTAGAGCCATAGCATTTTGTCCCCCAGAGTCATGCACATCCCTTTATGCAAAAGGCATTTGAGTCCGTCACTAAGAGCTGGCAAAGTCCTAACAGTTGTAGCATTGCTGAAAAGTCTGAGTCTCTCGTCTCCTCTGAGATGTTAGGCAAACTCTTAGTTGTAAGTCCCTGTATAAATGAAAAGTTAAACACTTTTAACATTTAATGGCACAAAATAAACATTTTTATTTTAAAAGTTATAAACAGGGATATAAAGCATTGGGACCAAAGCAAGTCCAGAATCCAGCAGGGCTAACATTATGTCTTACAGTTTTATGTCTAGCATCTGACGCAATCTGTGGCACATTGTGAGATGTCTTACGTGGCTCCACCCCTTATGGCACTTTTGCTGTTTGTAGCTCTCATGGCTTGTCTCTCGGGCCTGCTTTGCTCCCTTTTTGCAGCTTTTTTTTTAGACAATCCACATTCTTGGCTTTTTTAAACTTTTGAGGTCTCTGCTGAACCTCTGGCTTTTTATTTACAGCTTTACACACTGCCCTTCTCAGGGGCACACTGCCTGGCCTCCCAGGCCTTTTGAATTCTAGGTGGAAACGTTTTTAACCTCAGAACTCTTGAATTTTCTATGTGGCTTAAACCATTGCCATGTGGATGATGTCAAGGTCTGTTGTCACCTAGAGAAGTAGCCAAGCTTTTTTTTTTTTTTTTTTTTTGGCCATAGGGGTTGAGTGCCTGGATCATTGGGCTCTCTGAACCTGATTTTGAGGAACAAGGTTTTTTGCTGCTGTAATTTTAGAACATGGTGTGCCTGCTGTCACTTTTGTGGAACATGGTGCTCTGAGGCTTTTTTTTTTTTTAAAGTAAAGGGGCGTGTGGCTCTCATAATCTCCATGCCCTCCTCTTGCACAGGCTCAGGATGTATACAAAGTAAGCACCCTGGCCCCCTGCTGAGTCACACAGTCAGCCTTTTAAACTTTTCCCATTGACACAATGAACAACATCCTGCAGCAGGAAGAGGGTGTCCTTTTAACCCCAGGATGTGGAACTGCTGAGTCACTTCGCCAAACCTGTAGACTCCTCAAGTTGACACAATGTATCAACCATAACAAACCCTATTCTTCATATAAAATCTGTTTATTTAATAACATTTTAGAATTCAGCCTAGATGTATCTGTAGTTTTGTTCATGCTTAGAAAAGTCTGTGAGTTGGGCATATAGACGTGTATGTTAAATGCTACCAGTTCTAAATCAAAGCATGGACTAAGTGTTTCAGCTCCAAGTTTTTAAAAATATATTACCAACTGGAAGAGTGAGTAGGCAGTCTGATTTTTTTTTTTTTTTTTTTTTTTTTTTGAGACAGGGTCTTACTATCTAGTTCACGCTGGTTTTGAACTTATTTTGTATTTTGTAGCCCAGGCTGGCCTGGAACTCGCAGCAATCCTCCTGCCTCAGCCTACCAAGTGCTGGGATTACAGGCATGCACCACTACGCCTGGCAGGCAGTCTGATTTTTTTTTTCCAGTCTTTATTAGAAATGTAATAAAGTTTAAAAGTTTACTTGTTAAAGTCTAATGTCTTATTCTTAAAATTTAGGCTAATGGGAATAAATGTTACCTAAGTACCCAGGTATTTATTTTTCCTCCTTTTTATCTAAGCTAAGAAGTTGATCTGTACTATAATTTTTATTTTCTTAAAGTTTTTAAAAATTTCATTTTGGCAAAGAAATCACAGTTATGGTCATCAGCCATTGAAATACACATAATTTAATGTAGTTTGTCATATATATGCAAGAATATTTTGAAAATATTTTCAAGTAAAAGTTTTTCCTCATAAATGCTTTTTCCTTACCCATGTAACAGAATGGAAATTCAGAGACCATGACTTTGGGTAAGAATCAAGAGTCAGTTAATAGCCAAAAGGAAAGAATGACTTCTGTGTACTGTGAACCTTTCAGCCCTTCAGAAAAAGCAAGTGAAAAAATTAATTTGTCATCGGATGGTGTTGAGTTTGTTTCTGAAAGGTAGGCATTTCTACAAAAATAAAGTAGTTATCTAAATATATTCTTAAAAACATACCAGTTTTTCAAGCATAGAATAGCTTAAAGCTTTATATTCACTTGAACACTTTTTCTATTATGAATGAATATAATTGTTTCTCTAAAACTCTTTATCATTTAATAATACTAAAATTTAGAATTGGTCAGGTAGTCAGGCCATTGGTAGAATGATTAATGGATCACTCCAGTTCTACACATGGAAAATCAAGGTCCTATGAAACAGTGTTTTGTTTTGTTTTGTTTTGTTTTTAATTACACAGAAGAGCTGGTGGGACTAGGAAGAACTGCCTAACGTTATTTTCCTTCCAATTGAAAGTCATGTAGTAATTTTAAATTAGAACGCACATATTTTACATGTCTAGCAGAGTCTCTGAATAGCTGAGACATCTACCATCTAGTCTAAAAGATTTGGGGCCACTACAGAAGAAGGAGTTTAGTTCAACAGAGACATGTTTGCTGATCCTAGCCTGAGCTGATGTTGAAAGAGAGGGATGGGACATATAATGAATTCTTCCCTCATCATTGATGATAAGCGACCATTTTGAATTTTATAATATTAAATATTTTTAACAGTCAGTCCTTAAAATGCTCTGTTGTTTTGCTTTTACTTGTTAAATCATATCTCAAATTTTAAGAATACATAAAATCAAAAATAAATGAATTATATGATGAAAAAGTATATATAGTCAAAAATAAATGAAGTAAATGATGCTTATTGTTTTAAGAGCACTGCCTTTCTCCATGATTGCTGTTCTCTTACAGGGATGCTATTTATAGTAGTTCTTTGGTGTTTCTGCAGTTTTCACTCTTTAGGAGGTATTCTAATAATTCCATACTATTGAGGCCCACACTTTAGTTTTGAATCAGGAAGCTGCTGCAAAGGCGACATTTATTTGGTGAAGACAAGAGTCACATTTTAGTGAGTGCTGTTACCATTTGTTGATGCATGTTCTGAAACTCATGAAGAGACAAAAAACAGAAAACGAGGCTGGGCATGGTGGCGCATGCCTGTAATCCCAGCACTCAAGAGGCTGAGGCAGGAGGATCATTACAAGTTCCAGACCAGCCTGGGCTACAAAGTGAGCTCAAGGCCAGCCTGAACTGCATAACGAGACCCTGTCTCAAAGAAACCAAAAAAAAAAAAGAAGAAGAAGGAGACAGAGTGCTGATAATAAAACAGAAGTCACCAGTAAAACAGCACTTAGCAGATAAGTATGTCCAGTTTAGTAGTGGGTTATATTTGTGATATGAACAAACTCACTTTATGTTCTATACTAAAAGAAGAACATACAGTTTACAGCCATTACAGGAAGCAGGAACATTTAGCCCAGTGGTTAGTGTGCAAATAGGTGCAAAATAGTACAAATATGTACTGTGGCCCTGATGGCTTCAGTAGTGAGTTGTATAAAATATTTAAGGAAGAAGTAATACAAGTTTTAAGCAAACTTTCTGAAGACAGAAGAAGCAGCGTTCGTTTCATTTTATGAAGCTAACATAACCCTGATGCTAAAGTCAGTTATACAGTTTTATAAAAATGGAACTTTATAGCCCACTTTAACCCATAGAATAGATGGGAGATATCTGAAACAAGATACTAGTAAACCGAGCCTACAGTCTAAAAGTTGGGTGTGCCTCAGGAGGGCTGCAATGTTGTTTTAACAATAAATTGATTAATATAGTCTACCAGAAGAAATATCATTATCAGCTCGCAGTGGATGCAAAAATGTAAAGGTATCTTTATGATTAAAACAAATTCTGGGCACACTCGGAATAAGAGGTACCCTTAATCAGATAGAATATCTACAAAAGCCCTAAAACAAATTTGATGACTAAACATTGGAAGTGTTTAAAACTTGAAAAAGATACCTGTTGCCGCCACTTTTGAATGTCTTAGCTAATACAAGACTGCAGAGGAGAAAAAGAAAAAAATGTAAAGGATTAATAAAAAAGAAACAATTTTATTACTATTTTCGGATGACTAAGAGATTTTATTTGTCAGAAATCCAGAGGAAGACAGGTTATTAAGATTAGCTATATAAGATTGCTGAACTCCAAAGAGATCAGTTGATTTCATGTATACCAGATATAAACACGAAATATATAATACCTTGACAGCAGCAATAAAACATCTCAAGTACTTAGGAATACATTTAACAAGATAATGTAATTACTGAAGAAAATTTAAAAAACAGACACTGAAAAAGAATAAAATGGAGAAATGTACTATATTTATAGTTTGTATTATAACAAGATAAAATATTTTCACTTTAGTTCAAATTACTTTTTTTTTAAAAATTATTTATTTCGGGTGGGTGCCACTAGGGATTGAACACAGGGTCGCAAGTATGTTACACAGGGTACATTCCCTATCCTTTTAACTTTTATTTTGAGACAGGGGCTTGCAAAATTGCCCAGGCTGACCTTTAACTTGATTGTACTGCTTTAGCCTCTCTAAAAGTTGGGATTATAGGTATGCGCCAAAGTAGAGAAACAAAGTAGAAGGAATTTGCTATCAGGCATCATTATCTGGGACATTACAAAACTATAGTGATTTACATAATGTTTTTGGCGAGTACTAGACAAACAGATCAGTGTCACAAGCAGCCCAGGATCCTTTGCATGCGTGAAAACACACACACAGACACACACACACACACACACACAAAATCAGTGATAGAGATTATATGGCAGATCATTTGGGAAACAACTGATTTTCATTAAATGGTGATGTCTTAATTTGTTAATCTTGTTGGGGAAAATATGAAATTGGATCCTTATATCAATGTATACCAAAATAATCTTACATGGATTAAAGGAAATTTAAAAATTTTATTCTAAATATAGAAAGAATATCTTCATTAATTGGGGAGGGAATGATGTAAGACAAAGGCTCTTGTCATAAAATAAAAATTGATTAATTTTATCACATTAAAATTAGAAACTTTTAGTTTCCATTTTTTTTTATTGATACATATTTTAGTACATAATGATGATAGTGCTCCTGAGGAGTTGGTGTACATACATAACATATCATAATTCTTCCCCCATCTCTTGGTCCCCTTCCTATCTGCAAAAGATGTATCTCCCTACTTCCTGTTACCTTGTATTTTGCTCTTTATATCTTAGTCTTGTTGTATAAAAGAAAACATGTAATATTTAAGCTGTGTGTCTGATTTATTTCCCTTAACATTATGGTCTCTGTATCAGTTTTCCTCCAAAAGACTCAAATTTATCCTTTATGGCAGGGTAGTACCCCATTATGTATAAATACCATATTTTCTTTATCCATTCATCTGTTGATGGATATACAGGCTTCTGTTAAGATTTAGCTGTTATAAATTGTGCTGCTGTATAAACATAGGTATGGATGTATGACTTTACCCAGGAAGATACCTAGAAGGGGAATAGGTGGATCAAATGGAATTTTTAGTTTTAGTGTTTTGAGGAATTGCCATGCTCCTTTCCTAAGTGGTTGCACGTTCCAACCAACAGTGTAAAAGGGTTCCTTTTACCCTGCATCCTTGCTAGCATTTGGTATTATTTGATTGTTTTATTATAGCCATTCTTTGTGGAGTAAGATAGAATACCAGTATTTCAGTTTGCATTTCTCTAATGACCCTGGATGGTACTGTTCTGTATTGGCCATTTGTACTTTTGAGAAGTGTCTGTTCGTTTCAGTTGCCCAGGTTTTGATTGGGCCTTTTACTTAGGATTTTTTTTAGTTCTTTGTATATTCTAGATGTTAGTCCTCTGTTCAAGGAATAGCTGGCAAAATTCTTCCCATTCTGTAGATTATCTCTTCACTCTGTCAGTTATTTACTTCACTGTGCAGAAACTTTTTAATTTGATATGGTCCCCTTTGACTCTTGGTATTCTCTCTTGTGCAACTGGGATTCTGTTCAGAAGATCATTGCATGATTGAAAAGCAGACACAAAAGATAGTATGTATAATTTCATTTTTTATTTATTTTTGTCTATTTGAGACAGGTTAAGATACATAGAATGTATGTATTTGAACGCTACATAGTTCAGGCTGGCCTTGAACTCACTTTGTAGCCCAGGCTGGCTTTGAACTCACAAGGATCCTCTTGCCTCAGCCTCTCAAGTGCTGGGATTACAGGCATGTGCCCCTACACCATGTATAACTTCATTTAAACGAAGATTAAAAATAGCCAAAACCAAAATGTGTAAAGATTTAAAGCTTGATAAAAAATTTGAAGAGTAAGACAAAATTAGTAGCACAGATGCTATTTATGGGGGAAGTTCATGATATATAAATTACTTTTTCTTTTTTTTTCCAGTACCAGGAATCAAACTCACGACCTTGCGCTTGCCAGGCAGGCGCTGTGCCACTGAGCTAAACAACCCCCAGCCCCCGTGATATAAATTAAACATTACGTGAACTGTTAATCCAGTTTGAAACTATGAATCTTTTTATTAGAAAAACTTATTTATGTTTAATGTAATCATACTGATGCTTGGGTTTATAATCTTACTGTTTTCTATTTCTACTCATTTTCTATTTCTCATCTCTTTTATGGTCATTATTTTTCTGCATTTTAATTTTACAATATTTTGAATTTAACAAGGTAAAATATCACTGTTTTGTAATAGTCATTATTTATTTCAAATAGTCTGCTTCAGGGGAGTATCTCTGAGATGAAAGCTAGGGCCTTGCAGGTCCTAGGTGAGTGCTTTGCCACTTGCACCCCAGCTCCTAGTTCCCTGCCTACTTGTGTGTCTGTGGCTCTTTGTTTCTGTGTTTCATCTTTTTATCTGGGATCATTTTTCTTCCACGTAAAAAACTCCATTTATTATTTTCATTTTAATGCTGTTTAGAATAAATTCTGTCAGTTTTATCTGGAAATGACCTGCATTTTGACTTTATTTTTGAAGAATGTTTTAGTCTGGATATAATACTGGTAGGTTGGCACTTTTTGGCCTTTTGAGATGTGGTTACACTG